AAATAATGCTTGCATATTTTGATAAAAAAGTAAATAGAAAAAACTTTCCTTAATACTCAATATTAAATCCAAAAATTAATTCTAACTTGAATTAATTGAACTACTATTCTAGGAAAACAATTAAATAAATGGGTATTGATAAAAATTTCAATTTCAATCAAAAATAAATCTGATATGAAATTTAGGTAATTACACTAAGTGAATATTTTTCAGTCAGAAATACAATAAAAAATACTTATTCCTATAACGTAAATCTTTTTTTATGAAAGGATCGATACAAGGTAAAATAAACGATAAATTAAAAACTTATACATTATTTTCATAATCAGTGTCATATTTATAGGCGAAAAAGAAAGAAGAAAGCGTTCCGAACGTTTCTAGAAACGTATGATGCAAACGTGTTTACGCACGCGTGACTATCGTTACGCCACACAGTAGAACCATGACTATTAAACAGCGAAATTGCCATAAGCGAATCGTTGGTGGTGTGGCAGTGGAAAATGTGAAAATCATCGAACGGCGTCGACAAGTTTCCTCTTTTGGTATTTCATTTAGTTTATTTAGAAGAAATATGTGTGAGATTTTACACCTTCGATAGAATACAGCGTGTATTGAAATTCAGCATTCGTTTTAAACACTATCCTTCAGCTATTCTGCCTTTCTAAGCTCAATTGTCCCAACCAATATTTCCAAACGTTCGAGAAAAATGAGAAAAGCGTATTTTCGAAATATTTCATGTACAAACCCGACTACTTTTAACGAATTTATCGAGTTAGAAATTAACCCTTTCGCTGCGACAGATTTCAGCCTATATTTTGGCATTTCAAAATTTAAAAAAAAATGAAAATTTATCGCTTTAAAAATTGAAGTGGAAGTAAAGAAAAGACAAAAATTAAGGCACAGTGCAAGCAAATATTCAAAAAGCCTACAAGCGCAGAAAACAGATTACTGAGGATCTTTAATTTGCGAATAAAAATTGACTCAATCGACTGCAGAGAAAAAAAAAAACGTTTATTGATATAAGTGTAATACAAAACAACGGAGGCGAAAACCCGAGTGAAAAAGGGGTACTCAGTTCGGGGTTGTCGCACGACTGCTTAAAATCGGAACCACGGTCAGCGGACCCATGGCTTTTATTGCCCGGCCTGGGCCTACGTTAAGCAGAGAAAAATTCAAAATATAATCTATTCTCAATACAGAGAAAGGGTTAAATGAATCTTGAATTAATTTCCGTGAAAAATTGGTAATAAAATGAAAAGAAATTCTACTGTAAGAAATAGGGAAGATTAAATGAATATAAACCCATTTGTATACTGCGAGATAATTTACGATACGTATGCACATACTTTAATAAGAATGTACCATTATAGCTATTCACACAGAACTGTAATGTTTACGCATTAACATTTAACATGTACAAGTTAAACACACGATAATAAAGCAATCTGTAAATCGTAGAAGTGTATTTACGTTAATTAGGTTTCATATTAAATACCACGTTATCTTCAAATCAACGATTACACAGATTAGAAGGCGAAAAGATGCGCTACCTACATTTTCAGATAGCTAGAAACATTAACGTAAGTGAAAAATTCGTAAGATACGTGGAAGAAAGCACACCAGGTATCTAGATCTACCGAATGCTAGAAAACTGTGGAATGCAGATGAGAGATAACGTTGAAATGCTTTTTAAAAAACTATTTGTAACTATCACCGTAAGAAGAACTCTGTAGATACTGCAGATTAATATTTCACTTTCGAAATAAATCAAATTTCTCGGGATAATTTCTCAACAGTTTTAACACTTTCATCCAGAATCAACATTCTGCTTTTATGTCACGTATTTCCAAGCATTCTGTCCTTTCTAGAACCGTAGAAGATAAACCTGCACTACATAGATCATCAATGACCCACAACAGATAACTACATCTATCGCGTATGATAACTGCACGTCAATCACTGTTTTATAATATCGTACCTCCCACTGCTCGAACCAACATAGAAAATATTACATACACCTCTTGCATTACGTCACACAATACCACTCGTATGCTCCATTTTGTGTCATTTTGACTTTCTAAAAATTTGATGGAAAACGGTGGAAGTTACTCTTGTATCCTCTAAAAGAAATTGTAACCTTTCGTTTAGTAGTTAGCTATGAAAAAAATTCCCAAACTATATCTTTTGGTGCCTCAGGGTGACAAAAATTGGGGATTAAATTAAAGCATAAGGGCACGGTGCGAGAGAATATTTGGAACGCTAAGGGCACAGTGCGAGGACCTAATACTAATTCTTCAACGTGAACAAATCTACCAGCGTGGATACAAAGAAAATATTAAAAAAGTATTAGATCTGGAAATTAATTCGGTACCTTTTTTCACAAAGTCTTGGCGACTTTATCGACTCAAAACCCTCATATTTCTTCAGATAGGGAATTCATTAGTTACTCGATAAATGGAAAAATAGTGATACACAATAATGGATATTATTTCGAAAATAAAAACAGTGTTAAATTTTTTGCAAATGAAAATTGAAGTTCGTAAGAAAAGACACCTGACACACAGGGAAAATCAGTCACGACGAGATTACCAAATTTTTCGAGAGAGGGAATTCGTCAGATAGGTGGAAAAATAGTGATCCACAATAATGGAGATTATTTCGAAAACTTCAAACTGTTCAATTTTCCGTAAATAAATACTGAAATCGGTAAGAAAAGGTACCCAATTAACCTCTCACACTCAATACACAGGGGAAATCCTCGTTAGACGATCATCGAGAAACATGACAGGGGACATTCCTAAAACGAAGCCATAATACGAGTACTTGTCCTGTGAAAATCGCGGCGTTAGGCGAGAAAACGTTGCGAAAAACCGCTCAA